CTTAGTTTAAGATAGTTTCATTTGTCTATCTCTGTTTTCACTTGCTTGTCCAGTGACGTGACATCATTGAAGATACCATTAGCTTCAATGTCATGGAGGGTTTTGCCAACATTTTATTCAATGTACCTTATGGTTTCTGGTCTGATGTTGAGGTCTTTAATCCACTTTGATCTTACTTTTGTACATGGCGTTAGTGAGAGATCTGAGCCGACTTTTTTGCATGTAGCCGTCCAGTTTTGCCAGCAAAATTTGTTAAAGAGGCTTTCCTTGCTCCACTTCACTTTTCTTGCCCCCTTATCGAAGATTAGATGATCATTTGCTTGGGGGGAGATGTCAGTCTATTCAAACCTGTTCCATTGGTCTACCACTCTGCCTTTGTTCCAGTACCATGCTGTTTTAATTATTACTGCTTTGTAGTAGAGCTTGAAGTTAGGGAGGTTGATTCCTCCAATTTTCTTTTTCCCAAGAATTGCTATAGCTATTCGTGGGAGCATATTGTTCCATATAAATTTCAGGTGTGTTTGCTCCATTTCTTTGAAGAATGTCATGGGGATCCTAATAGGAATCACATTGAATTTGTACAGTACTTTGGGAAGTATTGCCATTTTGACAATGTTGATTCTCCCCATCCATGAGCAGGGGATATTTTTCCATTTCCTCGTGTCCTCTTTCATTTCCTGAAGTAGCGTTTTGTAGTTTTATTTGTACAAATCCTTTACTTCCTTAGTTGAACTGATTCCTAGGTACTTGATTTTCTGGGGCACAATTGTGAAAAGGATTGTTTTTTTCATGTAGCTTTCTTCTCTCTCACTGTTTGCGTATAGGAAAGCCATGGACTTTTGGGTATTGATTTTATAGCCTGCCACTTTATTATACAAGTCTATTGTTTCTAGGAGTTTCTTGGTAGAGGTTTTAGGATTCTCTTAGTACCATAACATCTGCAAATAGTGAGAGCTTGATTTCTTCCTTCCCTACCTGGATGCCCTTAATATCTTTTTCTTGCCTAATCGCTATTGCAAGTACTTCCAGTACTATGTTGAACAGTAGTGGAGAGAGTTGGCATCCTTTTCTCGTCCCTGATCTTAGGGAGAAGGCTCTCAGTTTTTCCCAATTGAGGATGATGTTTGCTGTAGGTTTGTGGTAGATGGCTTTAACTATATTGAGCAAAGTCCCTTCTATCCCCATTTTGGCGAAGTATTTCATCATAAAAGGGTGCTGGATCTTGTCAAATGCTTTCTCTGCATCTATTGATATGATCATATGATTTTTATATTTTCTTTTATTGATATCATGGATTATGTTGATTGATTTCCGAATGTTGAACCATCCTTGCATCCCCAGGATGAATCCCACTTGGTCATGGTATATGATCTTTTTGATGAGTTGTTGAATTCTATTTGCTAGTATTTTGTTGAGAATCTTCGCCTCCGTGTTCATCAGGGATATTGTCTGTAGTTTTCTTTTCTTGTGGTGTTTTTGTTTCCTTTTGGTATTAGAGAGACATGGGCTTCATAGAAACTATTTGAGAAAGTTTCTGTTTTTATCAATTTCCTGGAAAAACTTGAGAAGAACTGGCAATGGGTCCTCTTTAAATGTTTGGAAAAATTCACTAGTGAATCAATCTGTACCTGGGCTTTTGGTTTTGGGAAGACTTTTGATTACAGTTTAAATTTCTTTGATATGTATAGGTCTATTCAAGTACTTTATATCTTCTTGATTCAGCTTTGGGAGATGATAGGAATCTAGGAATTTATCCATTTCTTCTAGGTTCTCTTGTTTCGTGACAGACAGACTTTCAAATTAGTCTCTGATGATCTTTTGAATTTCTTTGGTTTCTGTTGTGATATGCCCATTCTTATATCTGATTCGATTTATTAGGGTTCTCTCTCTCTCTGTTTCTTTGTGAATGTTGCTAGTCATTTATTTATCTTATTTATTTTCTCGAAGAACCAGCTCTTGGTTTCATTGATCTTTCGGATTATTTCTTTGGTTTCCATGTCATTGATTTCTGCTCTATGTTTTATGATCTCTTTTCTTCTTCCCGATTTGAACTCCTGTTGATCCTTTTGTAAAATCTTGAGTTGTGAAGTCAAGTTGTTATGTGCATCCTTTCTTCTGTCCTGAGATATGCTTGCAGAGCTTTAAATTTTCCCCTTAAAACGGCTTTTGCTCCATCCCATAAGTTTTGGTAGCTCGTGTCTTCATTCTCATTTGTTTCCAAGTATCTTTTTGTTTCGTCCTTGACTTCCTTCCTGATCCACTCATTGTTAAGCATTGCGTTGTTTAATTCCCTGGTGTTTGATTTGGTTCTCCGTGTTTGTGTGTGATTCACTTCTATTCTCAGAGCATCATGATCTGAAAAGATTGTTGATACTATTTCTATCTTCCTGATTCTATTTAGGTATGTTTTGTGGCGTAGGACATGGTCTATTTTGGAAAATGTTCCATGCACACTGGAGAAGAATGTGTATTCTTGCTTTTAGGGGTTTAAAGCCCTGTATAGGTCTATAAGCCCTTCTCTTCTATTTCTTCTTTTAAAGCCAATGTTTCCTTGCTGAGTTTTGTTCTTGTTGATCGATCCAGAGGTGATAAGGCGATGTTGAAATCTCCAGCTACTTACTATTGTGTTGCTAGCAATGTCCTCCGTAAAATCTGTTAGCAGTTGTTTTAAATATTTAGCTGTTCCCTCATTAGGTGTGTATACATTTAAGAGTGTGATTTCTTCCTATCGTACGTGTCCCTTGATGAAGAGAAAATAGCCTTTGCTGTCCCTTCTAATCTTTTTCAATGTGAAATTAATGCTGTCGGATACTAGTATGGCCACCCCAGCTCTTTTGAAAGAGCTGTTTGCTTGCAGGATTGTTTTCCATCCTTTGACTTTGAGTCTGTGTTTGCTCTGGCTGTTGAGATGAGTTTCTTTTAGGCAGCAGAATGTTGGGTTCTGTCTCTGAATCCATTTTGCCATCTGTGTCTCTTAAATGGTGAATTTAGACCATTGACATTGAGAGAGATTATTGTTATGGGGTTTTGTGTCATCTTTCTGTAAGAGTCTGTTGTGGTTGTAGGGTTTGTCTTGTCTTACAGTAGTCCCCCCCCGTTTTTTTCTTTTTGGGTCACACCCGGCGATGCACAGGGGTTACTCGTGGCTCTGCACTCAGAAGTTACTCCTGGCGGTGCTCAGGGGACTATATGGGATGCTGGGAATCGAACCTGGGTCAGCCGCATGCAAGGCAAATGCCCTACCCGCCGCCTGTGCTATCTCTCCAGCCCCATAGTAGCCGTTAGCCCTTGTTTTAGGTTTGGTTTTGAGTCTATGAAGTTCCTGAGCTGCTGTTTGTCTAGAAAATAGTGTACTGTTCCTTTAATTTTGAGTGAGAGTTTAGCCGGATAGAGTATTCTTTGTGAAGCATTTATTTCAGTGAGTTTTTTCACTATATCTTGCCACTGCCTTCCAGCTTGGAGGGTTTCCTCTGATAGATCTGCTGTGAATCTAAGGGGTGCGCCTTTGTATTTGATTTCCTTCTTTGACCTTGATGCTTACAGTATTGTGTCTCTATTGGCAGCATCAATCATTCTAACTATGATATGTCTTGGAGTGTTTTTGTTAGGGTCTCTTTTAGCTGGTACCCTTCGGGCTCCTTGAACCTGAATGGCTGCATTGTAGAGCTCTGGGAATACTTCAGCAATGATTTGTTTCACCGTGTCTTTTTCATTGGGATTGTTTCCCTGAGCTTCTGGTAGTCCAATGATTCTAATGTTGTTTCTCTTGGAATCATCTCCTAGGACTCTGATTCTCTGTAGAGCTATTTTGAGGTCCCTTGCCACTGTGTGTTGTTGCCTGTTGGCTTGGTGCAGCTGATCTTCCAGCTCACTGATTCTCTGTTTAGCTGTGCTCATTCTATTGTTGAGAGAAGAGACTGAGTTTTTCATTTAATCTACAGAATCTTTTATTCGTGACATTTCTGCTCTCATTTCCTCGCGTAATTTGTTGATTTTTTTTCTGTCATGTTACTGGCTATCTGTCTGACTGTTTCATTGAGTTGATTGAACATCTTCATGACTTTGTATCTGAATTCTTTGTCAGAGAGGTCCCTTAGGTGAGCAGTACCGACAGAGTTTCTGAATTCTTTTCATTGTCCTCCCCATGTGGTGGGGATTTGCATTGTTTCTTCACGTTGCTGCGTAGGTTGGGGACTAGGTTTCTTGGGGACTAGGTTCCTTAGTATGGGTAAACTACCTGCGGCCATGTAAGCATTGGCCCGCTGAAAATTGGCCACGCCCACTTTTGAAGAGACCCTGCCCCCTACGAGAACCTGGGTTTGGGTGGGTTTGGGAGGTGATCAGCACAGCATGAGGGGTGAGGAGCGAAAGGCAGAGTCTCAGAGCTGCTTTACTCCAGGGGTCTGGAAGGACACCTGGGGTCTTGCAGGGAGAGATCCAAGTCCCGGGTTCGAGTACCGGTGGATGAACTGACCTGGGTTTGGGACAAGATCAGTGCAGCGTGAGGGGTAAAGAGCAAAAAGCAATCCTTTGTCTCTTTTAATGCTTTTGTTACTTCATTCAATATTAGTCTTTACATTTTATCTAAACTCATAGTTAATGACCTCAAGGACTGGACACGGACACAGTCCTCCCATTGTTCATCGATTTGCTCGAGTGGGCCCAGTAACGTCTCCATCGTGAGACTTGTTGTTACTGTGTTTGGCATATTGAATACGTCACGGGTAGCTTGCCAGGCTCTGCCGTGTGGGTGAGATACTCTCAGTAGCTTGCCAGGCTCTCCAAGAGGAGCGGAGGAATCGAACTCAGGTCGGCCATGTTGGCCGCTTGTAAGGCAAACGCCCTACTGCTGTGCTATCGCTACAGACCCTCAAGAGAACATTAAATATAAAAATTGCAAAGTTGAAATGCTATAAGCATTACTGAATACTCATGAAAGAGAGTAGAGCTGAACATTAAACTTGGAGCAAAATTAGGGCCAAAGAGATAGTATGGCGGGGATACTTACTGGCAAGAGAGATACTACGATCACGAAGCTCCTTTTCCTAGGGAGAGGCATATCCATTGCACTCCGGATGTGCTATTTCCCTGCTATTTCCTCAAACGTGGGAAACTCAATGGTATCATTTGTGGTAGTAGTGGGGGACAGCGTTTGAGTTCTCCCCTTAAAAAAAAACAGAGAGATAGTACACAGGTTCAGGTGTTTGCTTTGCATATGGATGACCCTGGTTCAAGCCTGTCAAGCTACCCGTGATGTGTTCGATATGCCAAACACAGTAACAACAGTCTCCAATGGAGACGTTACTGGGCCTGCTTGAGCAAATCAATGAACAACGGGAGGACAGTGACAGTGACATTGTCCTGTGAATACCTCCATGAATGATTCCTGAGCAGAGAGCCAGGAGTAAGTCCTGAACACAGCTGGATATGTTCCTCAAACAAATAAACAATAACAACAAATAGACTTCAAGTAAATAATGCTGGCCTACATTTGTTTGCTACATTTATTGACTGTGTCCATGTAATATGTTTTGTCTGCTCTAAAAAGTAACATTATAGTAGGAACTTATACATAATTTTTGGCAAGACTATTCTACATATAAATAAGATGGTTAAACTAGAAAATCTCTAATTGCAAACTATTATAAGACTGAAGTTACTAGTGAAAAAGAATGGAGCATGCAATTATATAAAATTTGACTCAACTAATATAATTCATTCACCTTATAATTTTGAACATTTTAACCTTCCTAAAAGTTTAATAATGTAAATATTTAAGGTGAACTGAGATTTGATAAAGCAACTTGCTAAAATAATTGGAGAAAAAATCAAACTTTATAGTAGACTCAAATTAGTATACTATATGAAATAAGTGTTAAAGTCTATTGTTTCCTTTGACATTATGAATTGAAAACAAAAATAATGCTGCTCTCCTAAATAATACACACAAAAGACTGAATATGCAACTTTAAAAAGAGGCTGATCTTTTAAGGGATGGAAGATACACATATTTGGGAAATTAAAAAATATGAAGTTACTTAAGCTTTAAAATATATTTTGGTTGAATCGAGATTATTTGTATTAAACTGATTAATGGAACCACACAGTAGAAACATAACTGTATATACATATATACATATTTCTTATTAATTTATTATTTTGCAACTTGCTTGTTCATCTATTTCAACTCCCCAAAATCTGCCAAATAGATATGAAACACAGACTTAATCTGAGATGAAATTTTGCAGCTTTGCATACCCTTTCCAAGAGAATGATTTTTATCAAATAATCAAGTAAGCAGAGCAGCATTTATCAAATAAGCTGGACATTACTACAGTATACATAGTTCATGCATACTTATACTCTAAAGCTGTCATTTTTTAACTACTTTCTAATCTTTGGAAGGAAAAATACCTAAGAAGCAGAAATATTTTATCATTAGAAATGTTATCAACCCTGGTTCCAAAAGACAGTACAGTAGAGTGGAATGCTTGTACTGCACGCAATTAACCCTGGTTCCATACTGAGCTCACTCTAAAATCACTCAAGCTTGCCGTGAGTGATTCATGAGCACAGAGCCAGGAGTAAACCATGAGAACCGCTGGATATGACCCCCAAATTAAAAAAAATTAAATATCAATGTTATTACCCCAACTTATTCCAAATACAGAATATCCATGCTGATTTTACTTTTAATGATGCACACTTGAAATTTTTATAATGCTATAATTTAGTGGTACTTTAGGGCAAATAAAATAAGACAGGAAAATCATGAAAAAGACTACTCGAGTATTTGAATAAAGAAAATAATTGTTTGGCATTTAAGTTTTTCAGTTTTACTTTAATAAATTTTCACTATCTTAACTTTTTCCCATCTCTAGAGTTTAATGCAAAAAAGTTTATATACTGAAGCTGATACCAATACGAACTATTTAAATAAATTTTCACCTTAATCTTAGAACTTTATTGTAGTAAATAGAAATGATGGTGGGTGGCATTTAAACTGATTATTTACACGTTAGTGGATTTCAGTATGATTATTTCTTTTTCAAATCCATGCAAACCACTATATTATGGAAGCATGCATCATCTATTGTGTTCTTTATTACATGCATTAGTATGCATATAAATCTACAGAAAATTTAATAAAATATATAATAAATCCGAAGCAGATGTAAAACACTTTAGTCTTTAAAAACTGTAACATAATTTGGAGATGAGTAATCTAGAAAATACAGTCAAAGTTCAATAGGAAAAAGTAATGACAATTAAAAACACTTCTTACATAAAACTCTGTTTTCTACCCTTGTTCTAAATATATTTCAATAGTATACGCCTTGTCCTGTGTTTTCATGTTACATCTGAGATAGAGTGGTCTCTCATCTCAAACTAATTCCTTCAATTTTGCTATCTCACTACACTTCGTTCCCTCTATTACCTATGCGATAATTTTTCACTTATTCTCAGAATTTTTAACTGCCCTTGAAACCAGTGTGAAAGAAAAATTGATGTGAGCATTTGGGTCACACCTGGCAGTGCTCAGGGGCTATTCTTGGCTGTGTGCTCAGGGATCACACCTGTGCTGTGCGTGCAGTTGAACCAGGTTCAGCATCATGCAGGTTAAATACCTCAGCCCCTGTACTCTCTCTCTGGCCCCAGTGTCTCCAAAGTAAGAGCTGAATATACAATTCACAACCAGCAAATGTAGCTGGAATGGTGTGGTGAAATGTTGGAAATGCTCCTTACCTTGTTCTTATGGATAAGAGGGTGGCAACCTTCATCAGCAACCTTCACTGACAAGTAAATTGGAATGTGCCATAAAGGAACTGACTAGTCACGAGATGGTCTCCAGTCTGCAACCACCATCTCTAAATACACGTGTCTTTCTCTTCCTACAAAAACTGTTTGTTATGACTGTCTGACTGTCCAGGCAAGAAGGTTGCTTGAGTAGCCGACTGGCCGTCTGCTCCAGTGCCAAACATGCTGCCGAATACGGCATTGTCTCCCACCATTTGTGTCTCTAAGCAGCGTGTGATCAAAGCTTCCTGGCTACATACTCGGGTACTTATAAGTTCTCAATTAATAAATCAGATCGAGGTCCCCTGTGTGGTCCCAAAAGTGAGGGTCCTTTCCGCGTGCTTTCAGTGTCAATAAGCCACTTCCCCACCTCGGCCTGACGCTTCAACGGACACATGAAGGAGGGTACAGGGCTTCCAAGCTGGTTGGTGATCAGTCTCTCCTCAGTCTGACTGAGCACCCTATTCCAGTCTCACCCTGACCCTCCTTCCCATCTCCTACTTTCCCCACGCCAGTCTCCCTTCCAGACTCACAGCCTTAGTTAAGAGCCCATCCTCAGAGGTTGGGGGTAGCAATTACACATAGGTGAGAGCACAATCTGCATATGGAAAGCCCTTTCCTGAGGGGAAAGCTTCTTCTAAGACAGATTTCACCAATTAGAAGTTCAGCTCAAGGGCAGAATTTCATCTATGGGCATACTTTCCTTTCCATTTAATATTTCCATTTAAACATGTTCATATCAGTTTAAACAATCATCTTAAATTTACTTCTTAACAATCTTCCTAGTCATTTTGTATGGACACAATAAGAGATTATTAAGCTTAAAGGGTGGCTCTGCTGAGAACATCTCGCTGTAGATCCTAGACTATAGTCCTCATGCCAGATTAGTCCTTCCTAACCCCAGCACAGTTCTTGTCCAGTCACTTCTCTTTGGATCATGATGGAATCTGTCCATGACAGTGCTCTAACCTTATTATAAGTTTTATGGTGGTTGGCCTGTCTTTTTTCGGTGCCAGGGTAGCTCATAGCTTGCTCGGGGTCCATCCAAGTCCCTTTGTCAGTACCCTGCTTTGGGGGTGCTAGGAACTAAGGACAACTGAGGCTTAAATTGAGTAAATATGAGAGATGTTCAGGAGTAAATATTATTTGGAGTCAATTAACTCCCAAGTTACAAAAGCATAGAATAAACTGTTTTCCTGTGTCTATACAAAAAAGGACATTGCTCTAAAGTAAACTATGTAAAGGACAAAGGGGAAAGAGAAAAAGCAATATTTCACCTACAAATACAAAGTCCAAAGTCCTTAGAAGAATCTGACGTAACAAGTCACAGGGTTTGATTTGGAGAAATATGTACTAACAAATAGGGAAAGCAGATCACAGAGGAGAAATTAAAGATAAACACGGAGGAATGGGAGTGCCTCGGGAGCACTGTGATGGGTGTAACCCAATAAACCTATGCTTCCTGCAGTGAAGAAGAAAGGACGGAGGAGGAAGTATGAACCAAGGTGATCTTATAGTCCCCCTAAAGTAATAAATAATGGATCTTTCTCAACTCCTTACTTATAATCTACGAACTGTTTATACTGTTTATACTGTTAAACTGTCTACACTGTTTCTTTGTTTCTACCTTTAAATATTTTAAAATTGCGAATTTTGTAGGGTTTGTTTTGTTTTGTATTGGGGCCACACCCGGCAATGATCAGGGATTACTCCTGACTCTGCACTCAGCAAATTCTCCTGGCAGTACTTGGTGGGTGGGGAACCAAACTCTGAGGATCAAACTCTAGTTGCCCATGTGCAAGGTTGACCATAAAAAAGGGAAGTACCTTACCTGCTGTATTATTACTCTGACCCCCAAATTGCATTTTTTTTCTTTTTGGGTCTCATCTGGCAATTCACAGGGGTTGCTCTTGGCTCTGCACTAGGAATTACTCCGGTGGTGCTTAGAGGATCATATGGGATAGAGAAAATCAAACCAGACTTGACCACGTGCAAGGCAAACACCCCACCCGCTGTGCTATTGCTCCAGCCCCAAATTGCAATTTTAAATTCAAATTTTCCTTTTTTTCACTCTGCTCATTGCTGAAGCCATATCACTTGGACTTCTGTGCTTAAAGAAAATTGTATTTCAATAACATCAAGGGCCAGGGAGATAGCCCAAATTTCTAGAGTACAGGCTTTACAGGCTGGATGCCTGGATTCAATTGCTGTCCTTACGTGATCTCAGGCAGCACCTGCAGGGAGCAAATCCACAGCACAAAGCCATGGATATCCGCCGAGTAGTGCCTACTGTGACTCCTTCCCTGAAAAAACATTCAGTAGCTCCTCCAAGTTACTTTTTATACTAATTTTTCATTTGAGTGAATGTCT